CAAAACTTAACCAACTGCTACTTGCCTTCAAGACGTGAGCAGCAAAGACTGATACTGTTCAAGCAGATGGAGAGAATATTACTTTTCTTTTTTAATTTTTTTCATGTTTTATTATATTGTTTTTTAAGTCCCTCTTTTACGTTTTTATTTTAAGAGAGATACCCATTTTCCAAACACTAAGATGCATATTTGTAACTGAGCTTTGTGTTGCACTGGGGAAGCCTTCTATACAGTCATCCGTTCTTGGAATACAGTCACATGCCCATTGACAGAGGTGCCAAAGTTCTATGGGAAATGTGGAAGACATGCTAATGCTGTAATGCATTTGCAACCGAGCTTTGTTATCACTGTGACTGGTAAGTTATCGTGTTCCCGTGTAGTACAGTTTGCAGTCGGGCTTTCCACTCTCTGAGTTCACATTTCCAGTAAGTTTTATCACCATATTTTCTGTCAAGTCAATAGACATAGTTGCTGTCATTCACTATTTTAAGACCACCATGTCTACTCAGGACTGTATATAAACTCCATCATGAAGGCTAAGATTAATGTAATATAAAAATGGGAAGTTTGTCAATGAAGAAATAAAATAATACTTGCTGACAGTGTGGTTTCATCTTTTACAATAAAATTGCCTTGTCCTGAAAATGTCTGAGGCAAAGATGTTTACAGTGAAACTACCTGGAGCTTCCTGGGACAAGCCTTTTAGGAGCCTGGATAGCAATGAGGGCAGGTTACCTGATCTCAACAGGTAACGAGGTGTCTTTACAGAACAGAAGTTCACATCACAGTGGGCCATCTCACCTAGAATTTGGAGAAGTTAGAAGCAACTGCTGAACAGAGAGTAAGTTAGAATTTAGCAGTGGCTGAGATATTGCTCAGGCTCTTCCAGTTTATGAATGTGGCTTGATGAAATATGATGGGCCCATAAAGGTAATTCCCTTTTAGATTAAAGTGACCCATGGGCATTCTCTCACTGGTGTTGGAAATCTAGTATAATTCATCTTGTTTAACCTTCTGCTGCCCCACTCAATTCCCTTACCTGTGATGAGCTCATTACGTCCTAATATGCCTCAGCTGTGAAGAAAGGCTGGCTGGAGTAGGAATGCCCTACACATGTTTGCTTACAGGCATTCATGGGTGCTCTGCAAGGCTGCCATCCTCCTTCCAAATAGCTGGAAAATGAGACACCAGAAAGTTCCATGACTTGCTTGAGATCATACCTCAAAACTAATGGTTGTCCCGGAGCTCAGAGCTGAGGGTACACTGCCTCTCTTCTTGAAATAAAGGCCAAACTTCTTGTGTTGTACGTCTAGAGATTCTAAAATGTCCTTCCCTGCTAAGTGCATTTTCCAGGCTGTTCTGGAAGCTGAGGTCAGGCCCCAGGCGAGCAAATGGCACTCCAGAATCCTACTGCCTCCAGACTTCCAAGCACCAACAAGGGGCAGGAGGCCAGCAACCAAGGAGATAGCAAGACTTGCCCTTTAAACCAAACATACTACCAAATGCAGAATAAAAATAGAATGTACAAGATTTCTTGAAATACATGCACAACCAAACCCAGCATAACTTTCCACTCCCTGGCAAGAGGCAATGTGTCCCAACAAGTTGGGTGAGGCCACTGCCCAGTCCCCGCTACCCCCGCAGGTAGGTGGCCCCTGCAGTCTCCTGCCCCAGGGCGTTGATATGCGGGATGGCACCGGCCGTGGCTGCCAGCTTCTTGCTGAGGTTCTGGTTCACCATTCCCAGGTGGCGGCCGTTCTTCTGTGCCTGCCATAAAGACCTCTTGACCTTCTTCACCCGTTCGCGGAGCTGTTTGTTCCGCTTCTCCAGAGTGGCCACCTTCTGCTGCAGTTTCTTGATGTGGTCCTCCTACTCAAACAAGGCCTTCTGCACTGAGGAGCACATGAGCCTACTGTCTTCCTGGATCTCCTAGTCACTGGGAAATGTCACCAGTTGCTGCCCTTGAGAACAGTTGGAAAACTGGAAAAGGCTGGAAAACATACTTCTGTTCTCTTGAGTGTCTGTAAAGATGGCATCTTGGAAATTTACTCCATGAGGCAAGAGGTTATAATTTTCATCCATCCTCAGGAAGAAGAAATACGAGTAATCCTGGACCACGGCGTGGGAGTGACACGAGAAGTAGCCCAGGCCCGTGAGGTTGAGCCTGGAGCCCGCGGGCACCTCGAGCATGCTGCCCCACGCCTGGTCGCACAGCATCTCGACCTCGGCGGAGTAGAGGAGCCCCGCCTCGCTGGCCTCGTAGTGCCACGGCAGATAGTTGTAGAGGCCGCGCACCTCCCGGTGCAGCGCCAGCACCTTGGCGTATACGATGGTCTCGGCCAGCTCGGCGCGGCAGCCCTCGCTCAGGGGGCGCCACTCAGAGGGCAGCTGGCAGGCGCGGGCGGGCGCGAGCCGGCCGGCCAGGCAGAGCGCGGCGAGCAGCAGCGGGCGTAGCATGCCGGCGGCTAGGTGCCCGGGGCACTAGCCTGGGCGCATGGCGGGGAGCCGGGCGCGGGCGGCGGCCGGGGAGCCAGTCACGCCGGGCCGGGAGAGGCAGCCCCGCGCGCCCGGCAGCTCGCGCGGCTCCCGGCGGCGCGGCGCTCTTGCAGCCCGCCAGGCTCACCGTGCCCGGCCCTCGCCCGCCACGCTTTAAAGGGATGGCGAGGGCGGGCGGGCCGCCGCCCCCTGCCCTGCCCCCCGCGCGGGCCGTGAGCGGCGGCGGAAGAGGGCGGGAAGGCGGCCGGGGCGGTGCGGAACGGGACGCGGAGCGTGGGGCGCGGGCGCGGCGGGAGGCGCGGCGGCCGGCGCGCCGTTTGGGGGAGGGGGTGGGAGCGCGACCACTGCGTTGCTGGGGGCCGCGGCCCAGCCCTGTTGCAGCGCCCGGCTGATGGGCTGCGCCAAAGCTTCCCGCCATACAGCATGTTCCAGACGCGTTGACTTGCATGTTTCACTCTGTATACGTTTTACAACTCCTCTGTCTATTATTTGCAGTGAAAATACATAGAAATCACATCTAACTGTACCTTCAAGAGGCTAACTACGAAGTGTGGGGTAGTAAAGTTTTGCATCCCCTCTCATTTAATTTCTTGATGATCTTAGGAAGGCCTTATAAAAGATTTCAAAAGCCATTTGCCCTGATTTTCCTAAAGCTAGGGGATCTACAAATTCCTACATTCGGATTCTGAACACCCTACACCTGAGAAATAAAATCTGAAGTAAATCCCAAACACCTTTTCACAGGTCAGTGAGGACATCTGAGACCAAGCTCAACAGTTTTATCTTTATCTCTAAACAAAATGTTCCTTTTATTTCTAAATTGCCTTAAATGTCCCTAATGTAGTAAGAAGAAAAAAGAGGATGTTTGTTATTCATAAGTTTATTTCTGATGGCTTATATACATTTATCATGCCACCATATACTACCATGCATATAGTGTACATAGCATCACTCATCTATCGTACATACTATATGTAACATCTATTTATAATAAATATATGAGCAAAACTGCCTTATAATGGAAGGCTCTTTGTTGTGCAAGCACCTTGTTAATTAGGGTTTCTGCAAAATTGAGCCTTGCATCCCAGCTGAATTCTTGTTTGTACTGAAAGGGAGAGTTCTTAGGGAATTCTGGGGGAAAAAAG